CCATAACTCTTTTCGCCAAAGTAACATAATATCACACAATTCATCTTTCACTTTGTCATGGATGATTTTACAAACTTTTAATTTTATGAACATGTAATATGGCATTCGATATTTACAGCAATCGATATTTATATATGTACAATGCAATGCCTTGTTGGAGGTGTATTTTAAAACAAGTGTTGGCAGGTTGTGAGCTTGTCGAAAAAACGTCGAGATGGAATTACCTCAGAAAGTGTTCTAAAAACCATTATACCCGATTGAGAGGAACTACGCTATCAACTATGTTATTCCATTAGTGTTTTCCCTCACGTATAATAAACCAGTTCAACAAATTTTCATCCGCTCTCATTGGTTAAAAGTCGATCACGTGACACGATCGTGCGGGTGGGTACTATAGACTTCATTTGGTCGTGGCTAACATTGACACTCTTGAGCCTGACCGGCATTCATTCTAGTAGTTCGAATAGTCTATATACAAGCCTGCAATTTTGAATATATCGTGGCGGGATATCAGTCTTCTTCCTTTAAAGAAGTCGCTAAAATTGTAAAATCCGGCAAAGTAGTTTCGATTTTTTTCAGACAAAACACGTTTGCTTTCGCCGCTATTTTGCTCAAATGTGTACTCATTCATTTGTTATTCACTTGTTTATCCTTCCCGAAATGTATTGCGCCACAAGGTTTCCCGCGAGTCATAATAAGGACTATGCTCAATTTTCTTAGAAATGGATATCCATAAAAAAGAAGAAGAAAACCCTATGTCCATCCTCACTAACCCAATTGATTAACGTTTTGAATTATTTTCAATTGCCTTTCTAACGTGAGCGATATTTCTGTGTACGGGTACGGGTAGGCAAACATGTTTGCTTCGTACTTTATGCATGAATTTAAGTTTGTTCAAGTAGAAAGTTGAATTAGTGAGTGCTCCTGTATTTCCCAAGACATGCTTCTCTAAACTTGACCTGTATAATACTCCGATTTCGAGTTTTGGTTTGCTCTGTGTTAGCCCCAAAACCAAGCAACATATTCTTTTGTTTCATTGATAGCCCGAGAAAGCGCATGGAATTTGAAAAGAAAGACAATGGAATTGATTTGAAATCTATCACTTTTATTCTCACAATTAGGAATATTTTGCGCACAAATGAGGCTAACACAGAGAATTGGAGAATTCGAAACTGGATTATTGTGCTTCCGACCTCTATTAAGCGTCCACGTAGTCTTTCCCCAGATGACTACCAAATAGAGGTTCATCTAAAATCGGTCCCTAAACGTAATTCAGTTTGTTCATTGGATCATGACATATCCAAATTGCGCTGCCAAATATAAATTGTGCCATTGGCGGGCTCCACAAGAAAGTCCACCCTTTAATCCGAAACCAATGACACTGTCAGGCGWGTGGCAGTTGATTTCGTTATTTCCCATCAGCCCTATTCTCGCCCAAGCTTGATGGATAKSAAGGTTAAATCCTTCCCGATTACAATTTGGTTGTASATTATTTCCCTTAAGGAGAGAATGCCATTTAGCCTTGCCAATACCTGCGTTKCCAAATGATCTGTAATTCCCATCAGCRATGACGTCATAGAGAGACGAAGCACTATATGGGATAACAGCCCAGTTAAGAACTTCGTTGTGTTTGAGACCAACGCATAGTTTCTGGAAAGGCATCGCCCAGTAACTTGGCATCTTGCTTTGGTAGCTATCAAAACCGGTTTGACCAGCTGTCAAATTCAGGGCTTCTTTGTTGGACCACAGTGCTGAGGTGTAGCCAAACTGGGCCTAAAATCAATTGAGCAAGAAAGAAAGCTGACCGTTTTGAATGTACGAGAAATGTTTCTATATGACTAAGAAATAGTTACCGTTGTGGAGCCCTTCATTTTTAAGGCCAGCGTCCAYCCCCCACCTTGGCAGATGTCGTTAGTCAAGTGGCAGTAAATATCTGTTAGCTTGTTATCAATCATGAAGGTGTAGGCCATGTTTTTACGATAACTAGAACGAGTAGAACAAACTTCAAAATRTTGTACACATGTTCGCACAATTACACGGAATCTAGCCGCGGCACTAAGGGGATTGGGAAGGACCGGCCGAGCGGGGAGTGGGGAGGAAAATAGGAAGGGCCTGCAAGCGGACCCCACTGTTTTACGAAATCTACAGTTCGATTTGGCCGTAAATTCCCTATTGGTCGAGAGCAGCAAGCTGTCAATCACATGTCAAAGTGATAGATACCAGATCAAATTGGCGTTTATTACAAACATGGCGGGCGATGAAGAAGGGTTTTGTTATATGTTAGAGCGTGCTTTAAGCGATTTAAAAGAAAAAGGCTTCAATATTTCACTAAAAGAAGAACAGCGACAAGCTTTAGAACAACTGTACGTAAAAAAGAAAGACTTGGTGGCGATCTTGCCAACTGGCTTCGGAAAAAGTTTAATCTTTCAAGTGCTGGTTCTGTTGTCTCGCTTCGAGCTTCGCTTCCAAAAGATCTCTCCTCTTGTTATAGTTATTTCTCCGTTAGTATTATAAATGACCAGATCTTGGAAATAGATTCTCTTGGACTCAAGGGATGTAATCTGGTTGACGCAATTGGCAATTTAGACATGTTATCGAGTGTAGATGTTATATATGCTTCCGCTGAAAGTGCTTTGGACAGACTCTCTCAAAGACAAGGACAATACAAGTTTTGTTTCAAGAATTGTGGCTCTGGTTGTTGATGGTGTAGCATGTTTACAAAACTGATATTTGACAGTTCTCATGTCCGCTGACCTCGCGACCTCATACTGATAGCGCTTCGTTATTGGTTTATTTTCACAACTGTAAAGTTAGATTTGCCAGACTTTTGAAAATATTAATTAGGGGGCGTTTCGTGAAACCGTGGGGTCCGCTTGCAGGCCCTTCCTATTTTCCTCCCCACTCCCCGCTCGGCCGGCCCTCCCCAATCCCCTTAGGGCCGCTACGCAGGCTACACGGAATCTGGATTCCGACAAAATTTTGGCTCTAGAATACGGAAACCAGGCACTTGGAATCGGCGGCAATGGAAACTAGGATGCTTTGTTTACTTCTAAATCCAGTATGGTGGAATCCAGGATCCTTGCTATATTTKTCATGGAATCCTGAGTCCAGTCAGGAGTGTGGAATTCAGGAAGAATCCTACGGATTCCGTGTCAAAGGGATAAAAACGTTTACCTCGTCAGGAGAGGCAGTTATATTGATCGTTTTCAACCATTCCCATGAGATTCAAAAGATAAAAGACAGACAGCCATGTCGGAGGAATGAGCGATATATACTAATGAAAAATCCCTTTGTTCCTCCAAGATGGCCACTGYGACKTTTCTTGAAAACGAAGAATTACCTTGTTTTACTAAAAATGTCTTTGCATGAAGAGATTTCTGAAACGTAATGATGAGATCAAGCTTGGAGCACACTAAATTGGTTGATAGTGTATGAGTTGATCACATGAATGTAGTGGGAACTAGCGGTAAACAAGTGTGAGCTGCGTCGGTTTTTCTAAAGAAACAGTTGTGTAAAAAGATAAATTTAACACCGTAAAAAAGTAGGTGAAATAATTACTGACGTTTCGGACGTTAATTAATCCTTCGTTGTTCCAGCAGAAACCGTTGCATCGCGACTTCAATGTTCAAAGGAGGGATTTAGGTTTCTCTGCGACTTAGGGGCGGAGCTTGATACTAATTAGCCAATGATTGAACGAGTTTTCGAAAAGCTCCGCCCCTCAGATTGACAGAAAGAACAAAATCCAGACAAACTTCGAAACAAAAAGGGCGCGATCCAACGATTTCAGCTGTAATCTTTCGGTTACTCCGTCATTTCACCTACTTTTGTACGGTGTTAAATTTTTCTTTTTACACACATGAATGTAGGCTTCTTTCCMATTCCATACCGAGGCCATTCCCAGACCTGTTTGAGTGGTATTCACCCTTAGCTAATGGTCCCTAATGACGTAATGCTTATCTTGGCAAAGTGCATCGGATAGCGAAAATGCCTTCAAGGGAAAAGACTATTTATCGAAATAACTCCAATAAATTAGTGTCTACCTGTAGTCCATTGCTCGCAGTATTGCCCCTTGTTAAACTCTTGACATCTACATCCGTGTCCCCAACAACCTTCAATACATTGTCCACCATTTTTACAACTTGTACCGTTGACACCACAGTTGCTCTCTGGTTGTTTTGACTCCATATTGATATTCTGCAGAAGCAATAGTGATTGTTTTAATTTACCAGAGTACATGGGATCACCGCTGATTGGCTGATTATTATCCTATTGTTACATTTTGTTATTTTGGAAACTAGATGTTTAAAGTTGCAAAAAAGGAAGGAAACAATARTTTCGATAACAGTATTACTAAAAGTTAAAAGGTTGACGGAAAACAAGGGCCCGGAAAGCGAAATCCTTATTAAAATACGATATCCGAGGAACATGGATATATTGCCTTAAACGTTCTTATGCTCTGAAGGGTTTTGTATTGTTCATGACAGTTTTATTATGCCGATTTTGATTAGGTGTTCGTTTTCCGGCCGGCACGTATCCCATATTCTTCGTTTTCTTGACCCGAAAAAAAAAGACCTCCATGAAAATCGTAACATAACCGTTATAAAGTATTTGCAGTCTAGATTCAGTTTCCGGGAATTCGTTTTCATTTTTCTGTGAAACGTAGGCTCTAAAAACATGTTGAATCGGTGACTTCAAATTGTGTACTCATTCATTATCCAAACTGATGGTAATTTCTCCTTTTTCGAGTGAGTCCACTAGAGTTTTGAGCATTTTATGACGCTAGGAGTGTGTCAATATTGAAGATAGACAACTGAAAACCATCCTCAATTTGTTATTCTTCTGCAGGTTGCTAGGGGTTGTTTAAAAGCACAAATAAGTAAACATTCTGACATTCACACACTTTGACGTGAGGACCAATGCTCAATACTTTTTCAAACCTAATATWGCCCTATCGCATAATGACGTCACACAATATTTAAAGTAGATGGGAATAGGTGCTTTAGAAACAGTGCAAATTTGGAACTATCGATATTGTCTCCCAACAAGAAACTTTTGTAAAGAAGAAATTGTGTTTAGTTTACATAGATTCTACCACTATACCATAATCCTTAGCGCTAGCACAGTAGAATGTTGAGGTGTGACGTTATTATATGATTCGGTAATTGCGAAACTTGCATCCATTGATGCTTATGGTAAGCCATATTAGACGCGGTAGCAGCACTTTGAAACTCAGTTTATAAAAAGCCTCAAGGTACCTCGCGCCATCTTGAAATTAAGGTATTTCCATCGAAGCGAGACCAGCGTTGAGCGTGCAGTGATAGAACATTTCTCCTTCTTYCCCTTTAATATGAGATATTGTAAGCGCACGTATATTGGGTTTTGTAAATGCGCTCTAAGAATATCTTTATTATTATTGTTTTATTATTATTATTTCGCACCTGCAGATATATATTCACAGGTATCCATCATTGCACACTCAACGGTTGTCTCGTTTCGACGAAAAGGCTCGGCTCCCTTTCAAGATGGCGCAGGGAACCACGAAGGAGATTATGCAGGGACCCACATGATAGAATCTTACATTTTCACTAAATGGTTGTCAACGGCATTCAAGCAGTGATGAAAATGAAACTTGTAAGCAAAATTCTTGAAGTGATTTGATGTGTTTTGAAGTCAAACAATACCTGGAAGGGAAAGAAATAACTGTAGCCAGGCCTTGATTCTTGGCATGTTGGACTGGAAAAGACGGCGCTTTCACTTAACTCGCAAATGTGGTTAGGATCTCCTGTCTCTTGGAAGTTGAATGATTGACAAGTCCGGTGAGACAGGCAGTYGGAGAGGCAGTTAAAACTGTTTTCCACTTGCATTGTCTTATATATACTTTTGGCCGCCATATCTAGGAGACAGAGAGAGAGGGAAGGAGATTTTTAAATATATATATTTATATCTGAACTGGCAGTGTAGACTGCACGGGTTTGAATATGCTATAAAATTCAATGTTATTGATCATAAAATGCAATATGTGAGAAATTAGAGAAATTAGAAATATAATTTTTTTTGAAGCTGATGTAATTATCTGAGAGAAAGTCACTGTTTGATRCTAATCTATATAACAATGTGTATTTTACCCCTAGGACATCCCATATTTTTTTCACAAATCAAAATGGCGTTCATATAGTAATATTAGGGSTATAGCAACGAAATCAAATCTTTATGACATGMTRAAAATCCACACTAGCTCAGGGGAGATTTTATCGAGTAAACATTTGCTAACATTTTGGCATTTTACGTCTAGAAGGGGAAAAACGCTAAAACAAGTTTAAATCAGAAAGCTAGTGTTTACATCAATATGGCCGCKGACAGCTGCTCTGTGTGTTCAATAACCGTATTATATATATATATCGCATCCATCGATAAAATACTTGCTTCTGATTGGTCGAATGATCACGAACTTATTTGTTGTGCAACATAAAACTAGTGTTACGTAATTCTCTTAAAAAAATATATTGAGCGGCATTTTTCTATTAGTCCTTTTCGGTATTTTATATGGTTGTATTTTCCATTGAATTGTATGGAGGGTCATTGACATAAAGGTGCAAAAAGACCTAGAAAGAAACTAGAGTCAACAGAATTATTGTGATCACATGAAACTTTAATACACTTCTATTCTTCTTCTTATGTATCTTTGCAGTATACACAAGGCGAACTTGTTTTTTCTTCATCATAGCATGAGGTAGTTCTTTTCAATTTAATAGGGTGTGACAATTTGCGAAAATTCATAGTTTTTTTAATTTAGTGAGTTTTGGAGTTTACACTTTTAGCATATTATATCAGGAGCTGTCAACTCTTCCTGATATAAATCCGGGAGTTTCAAGATTTTAGATCATTTTCCCCGATCTCAAGACGAAAATTCTCCTTTTCTTGAGAAAAATAACACAACTTATTCAGATATTATGCAAAAATTGTGCAAAAAATTGCCAAAGTGAAAAATTTGTACCCTGTGGCTGTTGTATTGTCTCTGTTTTCTATCTTTTTTTTTTTGAATCTTAAAGTTTGAAAATCGCTTTGGCAGGCTCCTCCGATTCTTCCATGTTTTATAGTGATGGCTCTATAACCTGTATTTTAACCTGTATTTTGTATTTTTTACCTTAAAAGGTGCACACATATTGCAGTGTAGAGTTCGCAAAATTACTGACATTATGTTTACACTTGAAAGATAAAAAACTCTTATACTTGTGATATAAAATATAATAGATATATATACCTAAAAACGATCTAAAGAGAATGTAGAATACTCAAGAATACTTTTATATTAACGTTTGGGCCATGAAACTGTTAAAGCTCTTTTCACGTCTTTTGCCGGTTGCCATTTGTCCGATTTTTTTTTTGATTTTATTTTGATTCGTCAGAAGAACCGTATTTAAGCATTTATTTTGCGTATGTTTAAGAAAAAGTATAAGATATCTCATGGCTGCTTTTAAGTTTGATTAAAAAAAATTAAACTTTTAAGTTTTTCTGTCAATGCTACGCGAACCGTATTTGTTATTTTGCCTGTAGATGGGCCGCATTGAGATAAAAAACGAGTGAAGTTCTAAAAATGAAAGAAAATCCAACTAAATGACTGAATACGAGCAGCAATCACCATTCCAAATCACTAAAATATTAAACTACAAAATTAAAATTTTTAATCGAGTCCTTTTGAGAAAATCTGAAACGGCAAACGGAAGTTTAATTTTGCGTGAAAATGCTGTCGATCATGATCTTATTGATCGTTTCAGTCTTAAAATTAACTCACTTGAGATTTGTGCAAAAGTCCCTTCTCTATACGTCTCTCTTCGATGTGGATTCGATAACTTGACGTTTWGAATTTCTCCAACAACAACTCCACAAAGTAGCACCAACAAAACCAACGTCAATTGCATTTTAAGTTTATCGTTTGAGAAATCACTTTAACTCAGTGAAAAGAATATATAGAATGAAAATAATTTTTTGTCGTCAGACAATATTGATATTTCTGAAAATCCACCAGGTCGTTAAAGCGATGTTAGTCCCCTAGATAAGAAATAAATAACTACGGGTGTAAAAATGACATAAGTCAAGAAACCAATGCAAACAAGAGAAATATAGTTTATACATCTTCATTTAATTTATTCAGGACATAATCGTTATTAATATTTCACATTCTCTGAGAGGGCTTCCATTCATCATAGCAGAAATCGGAAAGCGATATGCCATAACAAAGACTTTTAAATATGTTTTTTTTATTAATAATAATGTTTTCAACTTTTGCAGGGAATTTTCGATTACAACAGTGAGTATTTATTTGCTGGTGTAAGACGGGTATACGTCGCATTATGCTCAAACTAAAAGACATTTCCTTCACCGAATAAGTTGACATAAAGACGACTAAGTATCAGAGATTCTCTCGGTACCTGTTGTTTTTTTGCCCAAGATCCGTTGAAAAGCACTTTTACTAGCTAAACTGTAGCACCAGTAAATAAAAAAAGAAATTTATATTGGGACCTCTTCATATATATATAATACCCTGACTCATTTCCTGACAGTGGTTGAACCACTCGAGCCAACTGATTTCCCTCGGGATTTAACAATATATAGTCAANTGTACAGCGGACATACGTATGGCAGAGCTGGTAGGTCAAGGCTTGGAGTTCATCAGCAGTAAATCGGTTATCGTCCCACAGGACGTGGTAATGAGATGGACGGCTTGTGCCCTGAAATCATAAAATGAAAGGATTCCCATATTAGTTGGCATACATGGTTGACTGATCAAAAGCATACATCTACGAATCGAAATGACATGATCCGATCGGTACAGCAGTACAAAATTCAGGCCTTGATACAATAAACCACATTAACTTACTCAACTGAAAACAGAAGTACATAACCAGAAGTGTCCATCTCCCCAATAATATCGACACCATCAGATGTCCCGATAATCTATTTTTAGACAACCAATCACAACACGCGCACATATTACACGGCACCTGATTGGTCCTTGTTCATCTACTTCAAGAGCGGACAAGAAAGGAAAATTATGTAGTCGATGGAGTTTTCATTTACGAGAATTTTACACCTTTTGGTGAACAACCATATTTGAATTCGATAGAAAACATACTTTACTATATGAGCAATGTAGCGAAGGAAGTTCAAGAGCAATATGGTCTGCGAAAACAGGGGAAAAGTTCAGACAAAGATGAAGAAAAATGTAAAACAGCGTGCAAAAAAATTGTCTAAAGTAGCTTTCTTTATTTTTTATTGAAAACTAATGGCGTTTTTCAGTGAGAACAGATTGTCCAGACATAATAACAATTCCAGGAATTCAATTCCTAAATGTCATCCACTACCGTAGTGTGGTGGAAAATTGGGTAAAACGGGAACCTCCATGGGATATTTGAAAAAAACATTATGACTTCTAAATATGACACTACCAAAAAAGGGCGACAAAAAACGAAGGAGAAAATTCTAAACTATGCCTACTACTGATCTCATTAGAACCGAAACTCCTGCTTTTCACAGAAGCAATAAGCCGAGAAGCATAAGGAGGAGGAAACGGCGAAGGAARAAGAAGGAAAGGTTTTCGTTTGTTACTATGCCTTCCCGCAACCTTTTCCGCTCGCTCGTTTTTAAACGCGCGTCTTCTTCTCCGTCGCTTTATCCGCTTACTTCACTAGAGAAAACCAGGCTATACGAATGGCTAGAGCGGATTTCGTATGAGTGGGACACCGTTACCGCACGGTTACCGCACAGTTACCGGACCTGGCCTTCACAATTTTGGTGAACCAATGGGGCACTAGAATTTGGTTACAGTACGACTACGGTTACAGTACAGTACCGTCCGTTTCCCACTCATACGAAATCCGTGTTTTTTAACGTGATTAATATTCACCTGTATTCCTGCGTGACTGCAGATATAGAAGTCAAACTCTGAAGGGTGAGTGATCCCGTGGTCAACTGTAGTTCCTGGTGGAATGTTGCCTCCACGGCCACACTGAAACGTATCAGTATATATTACAATACAATAATTGGAAAAGAAAACATTTGTACACTATAGTATTTACAACTAAGCAATAAAAAAAACATTATTCNAATTGTTTCATACGTCGAGATATGCTCATGTGTTTAACTATAACTGCTTAACTCAAACTATTTGGTTCGGCGGGACTGTAGCGCGGCGTTTAAAACGGGCCTTAAATAAGTTGAAGCGACATCATCGTAAACAACATGCGACAATATAAACAATATAAAATCATGAAATATTTTAATAAAATGTTGGCAGTAGTGTCAGCATACCAATATTCAGGAACATTCCAGTCACAATTTCTCTATGAAGAGTTTCAAAAGTGACTTTCATAAACTGACATAAAACAAGTTCTTTTACAACTTCTTCAATATATTTCCTCACATCTCTGCAAAAATAAACTGTCAAACAATTTATAAATATGTAATTACAGGACTTAAATGTGTTATTACAGATCTGTTCTTTCTTTTTGTGAGTTTGCATTGTGTCCCGAGTGATAATTAATGTACAGCAGCCTGATGTGAAAATTGACAGATATCAATGTTTATTTTCTTCAGTTTGTCTGAAATCACGAGAATCATTGATCATAATCACTTTTAAAATATTATCTATTAATATAGATTTCACTTATTCCTCGTTCTCCGCAACTTGATATCTCTAACATATGGGATATTATYTGCCATAGATCTCCAACACATTTCATTACATCTCCACCACTAYAGATGTTCTCCACCACTATAGATGGATCTCCACCAGATACAATTTCACAGCAGGGGTCCAAAGAGAATAAATAGTAATTGATAATGGCTTATGATTACCATTTATGCTTCTGTTCTCCACCACTTTTGAGAATGATTGCTCTCACGTTCTCCACCAGATATGATTTTATAGTAGGAGCACAAGTAGAATGATAATGATGCCATTGATAACCACTATTGGTACAATGTACTGCGCATATCACCTGTACAGATATATATTAACATTGTAAAATAATACAAGGATATTGTATAACTCTAAKTATAACTGTATTTTTAGAAATTGGTTATCAATAATTCTTTAAGGGGATAATTCATTTGTTGATTTAAATACAGAACATACTTGAATTCAGACCAACAGAATGACAGCCTTGACTGTTGTACAGGGATYGCATTTGYATCCGAAGCTACAAAATAATCAATTTGCAAAGTTAATTATATGTATGTATTATATTTTGCTTGAATGCCMTACTTTTAGCATTGCAAACTAATAAAATGCTTGATAAGAATTGAATATACCTAAATTGTAAAAAAATATAAGCTTACTATACTGCCAAATCAAATTATATTACAACCACAACAAAATTACATCACTGCTAAATTTTAATGGATTTATTAACTGACTAATCAATAGATTACAAACACTAAAACTGTGCAACATGAATACCACTAAATACTGCAGCAAATTATGCTAATTCTATTGTTTTCAATTGTTAATTAATGTACTATTTTGTAGTAAATAGTGGAAAGTTTTGCACACATTTAATGTTTGTACTCTAATATGGTTATCCTATAAAATATATTTAACACTAGATTATTTTTGATAAAAGTATGTTATTTTTTTCTATAACTGTAATAATATTGGGTTACGTAAGAACTGAAAAACTGAATTATTCTTTTTGAATTTTATATTTTTAATGTTTTGGTACGCTCTGGTCCACGTTAAAGAAATTGAACAAATTATACATYAGAAAATAGCGAAGTACCTTCGATGTCCTGGAGTAGAGGGCGAGAATCGCTCTCGTGGTATTGATAAACATTGCTTCTGTCATCSGCCATTTTGAAAACACAGGAAGCCCAACTAGTGTGTACCAATTTTGATCTCCAAGATTATAAAACTAGAACACAGACAAGATCTTTAATATCATAGGTGAATCTACTTTATCCGTCCAGTTTTGAAGGTATAAAGACTTTAAAATGAATTTCTTAAACGATATATTACTTTATCAAAAATCACCCTGTTTTGGATTACCTGTGTTATGAGTCCGACGAGGAACGCCTGTTGGAAATCATCATGGTTGTTGATATAGTCTACAGRGAATTATATCGATTCAGGTAAGATTTAGTGACGTATATGTTACTTTTAGCTGTCTTTCAAGTTTAGCYAAGTGTAAATTAACTTGAATTTATATATAATTTGTAGTGTTTTYCTTCAAGAAACGACGAAAKTCAMGATAGAGTGACTATGTTGACGTCCGCCATTTTATGCATTTTCCGCAATTATGGCGAAGCGGCGCGAAAAAATATACTTTGACTTCTTACAACGACAACTTTTCTGAGATTTAAAAACATTTTTTTATTGTTGCTCTGATTTAGCTGCATAATTATCATARTGAGCTTACACTATTCTTGACTTTATTAGGTAATAAACGTCCTGTAGCTTTAGCGTTCTCGATTCTGCTATGGGGATCAACGTTGAGGCAGTTGAAAACGCTTTCGAATGGGAAACRTTCGAAGATGGAAAACCATATCTTGGAACTTACAGACACGAGATACCAAGTATGTACATCAAAATACAAGGACAGGCCCAATGCATCGGACACTGTAAATTGCTTACGTTCTAAACTGTCGACGACCCTCACATAAAATAGCAATTCCTAGTMCACTGAAATAATTGAATACGGCATTTAATTTAGACGTCCAACTTTAAGTATCGAATATAAATCCCAGTCCCCTCTCGGGTAACACTGATCATACCAAGTGTTCTATGTTATAAGAAGCATTCATTACATTTACCCTGCGTAGCGGCTCCAGGGGGGAGGGGGTTCGACGGAGATCATAAGTTTCGTTTTGTGGTTCAAGACTGTTTTGAAGGTAGTGAGGGAGGGTCGGGGAGGGGGTATGGTCTGAAAACATGATCATATGCAAGCCCCCGACCCTTTGTAGTAACCATAGCAAACCAATAAACTACACCATCTGGCAATGCAAATGCTTCTAAGTGGTACAAAGCACCAAATAAAATCGTCTGTCTGTCTGACAAGTGTGAATGTTTCTCTTATGCTTAACTATGTTTAGATCGTGTTAAAATGATGACCAGGAAATTAGATCTCAAGAATTGGGTTAAGATTGATCGCACATATGCGTCACAGATGCGGGAAAAGGAGAGACTGTTAGACACGTTGAGAAGCGAGGTGTKTGTCACCAACCTTGATGAATCAACGACGCTGGCAAAGAGGGAGCTACTGGAAATGTTATGTGATTATCTTCCAGGTGAGATGAAGGCTGATATAGAATTAGTAGTGGAACTCCCTTGGAACAAAAAGTTTGATTTCATAAACAGTAACAGAAGATATTTCTAAGGTTACTCTAATTCTCTTTTTATTTCTTTTCTTTTTTTTCTTTTTGCAGTTTGGTTGTAGTTCTTAATTAAGCGCGCATTTTTGAAATAATGATATTAAGAAAATAAATAAAATTCCTAAGCCGGTTATTGGTTATGAGCAAATGCAAGTCTAAATTGCCCTCTTTTATTATGACGTCACAGTAAGTTTACATCGGAAAACGATGGTCAAAAACAGTGGAAATGTGTGCTCATCTATATTGTCGACTAAAGTAGAACTTAAATGCTTCATGTATTGATAAATATAATGTATAAATGATTGCTTATGTTCATTTTATTTGATATACAGTCACTTTGATCCCCTCTGGCGAACATAATCCTTAGCGTTAAGCCCATAGTTGTTGATGCGAAGTCTTAATAAAACAGTCTAATTGCCGTAATTTGCATCCAGAACGATTTCCCGATAAGTTCGAAGTAAGAGAAGGAGGCGTTTACAACAAAATGTTACAGGAATTCGTATCTTCATCGGACAAAGCGGGCGAGGACGACCCTCTTGTTAGATGCGGTCGACTTACGCAGGAAGATTGGTGCATTATGGAATGGAATGATCACCATCAGGCATATTGTCTAACAGCTGGTAAGATCACACAACACTTACGTGGCTGTTTAACATGTATAGCGTGATGTTATACCATACAAATTAAGTAACACTTAGAACTTGACTAAAATTTAGTTTTCAAGTCGCTAAAACTGTCTTTNAGTGAATTGCTATTAACAGCATTGAACGTTGAACGTTTTATCGGCCTGAGATATGCAATATGGCATCGAGTACATGTTACAAAATCTTCCCTTGTTAAGGTTGCTGTCGTTTGTGGCGTCCTTGGCGGTTGTGTTAACCTTGCGCGAACCTTTACAGAAAAAACACTAATTCCCATTGTTCTACTTTTCCTCTGCACTTCTATTGCAACGTGCCTGTTTGCCGTTTTGATTTGGAGAGACATCAAAAAGAAAAATGAGCCTCAAGTTTGTCCTCAACCTGGGCAAGTAGACCAATCCGTTGCTAAAGCAAGAAATTCTCCACAAGTTCAAAGACAGTCCGCTGTCCAATCTTTGGGAAATGAGGAAGATCCACGTTTGAATGTTCCTCAGCAAGTCAACGTTTCTTGGTATTCCATCTTAAAGCGAGGAAAATCAACGGAAGATCAGGAACAAGGCCAATTGCAGAAAAAGTCTGAAGGAACAGCCGAATCTCGAGACAGAAGTAATCCAGATGATGCCGGTGAAGGAAATTCTTATCTGATATCTCTTTCAAAGATTCATTCAGCCGAAGAAATCCAAAAGGAGGTCAAATTGAGATCAGAAGGGAACAATCAACAGCAAGCTAAAAGCCAACCTAACTCTCAGCCAGTTTTACTTGTAAAATGCACTCACCGTAGCGCTATCCTGACCAAATCAGAAAAGAAAGCAGCAAAAGTAGCGACATACCTTGCTCTTGGCCTTCTATTTACAAGAATCATTCCAACTATGCTCCTTTACGCTGTTATTAAAGAGTTTGAGCTGAAGTACGTTATCTCGCCATTGCTGCAAGCATTGTCACTTGTTGTTTCGCTTGTGAACCCAGTGACTTTCATTGCTACAAACGAAGCCATCAGAAAAGCTTGCTTAAAACTTTTAAGATGCTGGGACGCGTAAAAAGTTTGAAAAATGAATGAAAGAGAAGAAAAAGATCGATTCTGTTATTAAGATAAGTAATTCACCTATTATTGCCGTTGTCTTTATTTTTATTCCAAAAAAATTCTCGGAATCAGATAAATATTATTTCACTTTAGTAAAGATCTACTAAGACACCAGTTGTTTTTTTCCTTTCGTTTCTGTCAATTTTTGTTCTTCAGGATCGATTTTGATGCTGACTAGTATATTGATATAATTTTCGTTAACTAAATCCCTATTAACATTGCGAGCAAACTCAGTATCTTGATTSTTTCTTTGGAGATTTCCAAAGGGTACTGAGGACTATCAGAAGATCAAGAATAATTTTTCAAAATTACAAAACTATCCGGGAAATTTGCGCACTATAGAAAAAGTACATCTAGACACCTGCTTATCCTAATTGTTGCCGTAAAAAGGTAGTACGTTTGAAACCGTNTAGAACTTGACTAAAATTTAGTTTTTCAAGTCGCTAAAACTGTCTTTTATAAAACTGTAATAAATATTAAATCAAATAATGCTAAAATGTACTAAATTATGCGTATTTCTTTATTTTTATTGTCTTATCAACATGCTTTGCTCTCATTATTTAGCACTATTTGGCGATTACTTTTTCCCGTTTTTTAGTGATTTCACTTTATAACACTTCGTGCGAAGTGTGTTTCTTTTGTTCCCTCTATACATTCCCTGAATGTGAAAATTACTTTGTCACGTATCGCGACAATCTCCTTCCGTAGCCGATATCTGGCTTGTTCCCAGGTCTCTATCTTACAGTGATGTGTTTTAAATAATTTTCTTTCCGTAGGGATTGTGTGCTTTCCGTCTCTTTGGTYGCTCCGAGAAAAGTGGAATTTACCCATGATAGGTATGCTACATGGAGCACAATAGAACCCTTAATAAAAACAGAAAAAAACAAAGAGACACGACTACATTAGAAAAAGGCGAATTGATTTTTGTGTGACTTCTAAATGCCGCTGTTTCTGTTGTGTAGGATGTTTTTTTCAATGATCTCCCCATGCATTCATTTGCTCACCCGTCCATACATTCATTTATTCAAGCGCGATTCTTTCCTTCGATCTGGAAACATTCCATACTTTAAATACCATGTTTTTTCCAAGTACAGGCATGTTTGTAGGGGTTTCTCAAGGGGGTAGGAGGCGCTCTAGCTTTGGATTCACACCGAAACCGGAAATACCTCTGGATGATTCGTAAATGTTTTTATGATTTTGCAAATTAGGAACCATGTTTTTAGGTTCGGAAATCCCTGGTACCCTCCCCCAACGCACTTCTTTCTTGATTGCGGGTGCCGATTGCGGGTGCCGATTGCTAAACAGCTGAAAACTACGTGAATATCTCCCAAACCTCAAAACAGCATGACACTAATGCGATCGTCAACATCTAGCTTTTTGCACACTTTTTATATTGGTGTCGATTCCTATCGAATTCTGTTAGCTGCAATGCAACCTTTCGAATTTCGTAATTTACACGAATTGAATTGACATTGACATTAGAATCCCCCCTTCCCTTCYATCCTCCRCAAMACGATGTCATCGTTTTGAGCCTGACAATTATTTGTCAAATAAGTGCGTGCTGTTTTTTTAATATCAGGAATTCACCAACCGGTCGATGGTTTTACAAAACACATTAAAACACTCGTACACAATCTCTTAAAAAGTATTACACCCGACACACCGATCTACAGAGGAAATTGGTCGATATCCGGTGATCTTGATGGACCGCTCGATTTGTACAATACCGTGTCACGTGATTGCCTTAACGCTGCTAAGGGTGGAGTTCGATCTTATGAAGGCGAGAAAACGGGTCACGTGTTGACATTAAGATGCGAATATCAGACACTGAGGAAACTCGAAAAGAGCAAAGCCATAATATTCAGTATTCGCACCTACCAGATGCGTCTTGAGGATTTCAAGAATTTTCCAAGAGAGGATACAGAAATGTTGATTGAGGTATTGCATTGTTATTTTTGTTGTTTTATTTAGTTGATGCTGATGCTGTTGTGTTAAAAATGTTAACATAGAACTTCAGCTTTGACAACGAGTACGAGATTGAGTACGAGTACGCCGAGTTTTAAAATTGGCCCAAGTGTGCTATTAATCATGAGTTGCACTCCTGTAAATGGATTGAAACATCAAAGACACGAAGTGGTTTGAAATCCAAAATGGACAACGCAATAAAAGCTGGTTTGAAAACTCGTACCCGTACTCAATCTCGTACTCGTTGTTAAATCTGAAGTTCCCTGTCGATGTTTCTGTTGTTGTTCTTGCTGGTCGATGCAGTTATTGTAGCTGTTATTTACTGATGTTGTTGCTGCAACTTTAAAATGAAAAAGTGTGCAACGTTGTCAAAACTATGACCTTTTCACCATCGTTTTTAGTTTGTTGCCCAAATTCAGGKGCAAAACCACAGGCCCCTAGCGCAACTTGTTTTCTAACCTATCGTTGTACTATAATCATTGTTACTGAAATTGGCTTTGCCGTTGTTGCTCTTTTTGTCTGCTATTATAATGCTATTGTTGTTTCTGCTGCTGTGGTTAGTCTTATTGTTCTTTTTACTGATTGTCGCCTAATGGGCATCTTTTCGATTGTCAATGACGTTATTTTCAGCATTACTATATAGTCAGTACTTTCAGAGAACAATGCGTTGGCCATCACGAAAAGTGGGACTCGAATCATTTTAAAAATTGTAAATCCTAAAAGAATTAAAATATATTAATATATTACGTTATAATGATAGATTAGATGACTTAGCACATCTTAGAAATGTGTTCTAAGATGCGGGTCTCACTTTTCAAGATGGCGGAAGCGTTGTTCTCCGAATGTTCTGATGTATGTATCACTGGGGTTTTATCACTGTGGTATTCTGTGGGCAGTCATTATCTGGCGTTTGACATAGATTAATCACCAAACAATGAGCAGTTTTCCCAGTGGAATTAAAACTGAAATTTCACTCTTTCCAATGACTACCTAAAGCACAAGGTCAGGCACGAAATTCTTAGGTCATTGGTTCAGCTCTGCCGTTAGCCGTTTGCCGTAAACGTGATGCGTAAACTCTCTACTATTTATCTCTTCACCTAATGATGCGTCTGATATATCCAAACAATTTTTAGGCCATCGAAAACATCCATCCAGACTTCATAGAATACAAAGGTGTCGACCATTGGAAGGAAGCTGCACTTCAGTACTTGAAACGAGACGTCCTTGGAGAAGAGGAAGCATTTCAMTTCCCTTGGATCAAGAACCCTTGGAAAACAGCCTTGGTTCTAGCTTTCTGTGCATCAACGCTTTCAGTGGTAGTATCTTTATTAAAGCGCTAGATTTAGAATAAGCATAGAAGGAATAGACGTTTCCTTGTCACTTGTCATAATACGCTTTGTTCTCGTTCTAAGAGTTACACCGCTGTTACAGTAGTAGACTCACTTGCACAGGGAACTTGCCAAAAAAAAAATATATAAAGCACGAAAAAATGTTGACATTACAATAGCTCTAGAAATTTGAATCTTCTCCGATTTGATGCTAAAGCGTGGATTTCACTAGCGCATAAGCATAGGCATAAGCACGAAGCACGAGAGTCATATGCTCCAGTGAGAACGGGCTCAAAATAAGCATAAGCATGAGCACAAGAAAAACGAGCAAGTCTTGATCTTCTTGTGCTTATCTCATGCTTATCTCATGCTTATGTTCAGTGAGAACGGGACTGCATAGGCATAAGCATAGCCTGGTACCGAAATA